ACATGATAGGTACTCTTTTTTATATTTTAATCTTCACTAATTGAGTGTGTAAAGTTGAGGTGTATGATGAAGGTGATCTACTTGATTAAGGGGCTGTTTGTTTATTTTAGAATGATTAAGCGTTGAATGATTCAAAGGCTCTGTATGAATTAGCTCTGAATGTGACATGCTGTTTGATAATGACTCTGAATCATTCAGATTGTACTTATGTTGCTTGAATCATTCAGCACTGTTTTGCTGAATCATTCAACACTGTTTTGTTGAATCAGTCAGCACTGAATAATTCATAGGTGCGAAACAAACGCGCTGAATGCTGAACGATTCAGCATTCAACGCTGAATGATTCCATTAAGAGGCAAACAAACATCCCCTAAATGAGTAAACAACTTGGGGTTGCATCCACTCTTTACTTGCTTTATTACAGAATTTCTTTGCTTAATACAGAGACCATGATATTTATATATCAACCACCCTTATTAAAATGGATATGGATTCCATCATCATCACCCAAAGGAGATGTAAATGAGCTAAACATCTAACTTTTTGCCTAGTAAATCTAATCACAAGTAATTTTTTTGTCTAAAATGATTATAAAGTACTATATGTTCATAATTTTTTTCAATCATTGACAATGTACGTATACAATTATTATTCCTATTATACCGTCTTTAAAGTTTAAATATACGTTACTAACATGGTTGGTTCAAGTGATAATCACATTGATATCGCTGAAGCATGCCTCGAATTCGAGTCCTTGTTTATGTAGAAAATCCCACCCTGGAGACTCATCTACCAAAACCAATGTACGCCCCAAGTCGATTCAGATTAGTCAAGTTAAAACATTAGAAATCGAGAAGATAAAAAAAAGTTTAAATCTAAGTTGTCTCCTAATATGTGGAAAATGATTGAATTCCACCGATTGTGCCTGCTTGACAATCGCCTTAATATTTGGTTGAAATTTCATATAAAAATTCTGACCTTTTGTATCAAAACACCTACCAGCCTAAACCGTTAATTTTTTTTTGTCTATTTTAATTTTTCAATTTTTTTTTTATTTTTTTAGAATTATACTTAATGTTTAATTTTTTTTTTCATTTTAATATTTCACCGTTAAAAACTTAACGGATAAGCTCGTTGGTTGTCGCATCTACAGTCGTCGACCGTCGTATTCGTCTGCCGATGAAACCCAAAATTTTTGACTCGCACCTTTTCGATCCTACACAACTTTGATTTCCGTTTCATGGGGAATGCCTCAATCTCCTCAAATCATTGACGGACACTCCAATTTCTTCATCTTCCGATCTTCGTGGTCCACCATCATGGGTCTAAAACTGGATTATATTGATTGACCTGTCATTCTCTTATGGTCCACCATTCGGAATGGTCGTCTGTCTATCGGAGCTATATCACGTTAGCTTGTCCATTAAGTTTTAAAAACGATATACTAAAATAAAATAAAAACTAAACATTATATATAATTTAAAAAAAATTAAATACTAAAACATATCATAATTAATAATTTAAATACTAAATGCATACCTTATCCTAAACATATACGGCTCGTGTCAACTTCAAACTTAACGAGATTACACGGTCCATGACCAATAGAAAAGAGACAACAACATCAAAGTCCAGTCTGATATTCCCATCGTACATGTTAGGCACAAATAAGCATAAAACAGCAAAGCAACATGCTAAAAAAATATCTGTTTGTTCATGCATGCGTGATCACAAAAGGGCAACATGTGAAAGACCAGCTTGTTATGCAAGCTTATGGAACCATTAGTTTAAACCAATTGTAGGGTAGGTCGTTTGTTGTCCGAAACGTGGCCTAGTCCCTGGGTCATTGAGGGAGATTCTATATTTAGCAGTCATAGGTAAGCGCCTAGCTCGACAAAGCTAAAGGGGTGAGTTAGTGGAGAATCATGTCATTTATGGCCCGGACATGGTTTTTTTTTTTTTTGGGTTCAATGAAAAACCATAGCCACGGACCAAATAGAAGAATGATGCTAACTAAAACCAAACTCAACCAACCTTAGACTAAAACTGATCCAATTCCATTAAATGGAGTCGAACTTTTGAATATTTCGATTTCATCTTCAACTTATGATCATCATTCTAAATTAGTCTTTATACTCTTTCCCCATACTCATTTAAAAGATATATAATTCAGTTCCAAACATATTTTAACCTAATTTTGTTCAAACGTGTAATAATATAGCTTGACATGACAATTTCGTTAACATGATATGTGATTAGCGTATATTGATAGTTTAAGATGAAATTGAAATGTTGAAAAATTTGGAATCTATTTTAGAATGAAGGTTACAATTTGCGGATGAAATCGGAATGTTCAAAAATTTAAGACTAATTTAAAATGAGACTTATAATTTGAAGATAAAGTTAAAATATTAAAAAATCGAAATATCTTGGTGTTCACCCCTAGATAGGAGCACGACATCCCTTAAATAAAATCTTAAGACTAACATAATGAATGTAAGTAAAAAAAAAAACAATAATTGGTGTTAACTACATGGATGATCATTTATATTTGTATTTTGTTTAATTTTGGTCATTGATTTCAAAAAAATAAGATATAGTCACTTTCGTTTTTATTTAATTAAGATATTACCACTTTTATTTTTATTTATTTAAGATGTAACTCTTGTTAATAATTAACCGATTAAGTGACGTGATATTCTGGTATAATAACATATTTGATCCTTAATATTTAATTAAACCTCATGATCATCAAACATCGAAGAATCTGAAACACACAAAAATTAAGTAAAATATTCAGTTACACCAGGATAATAACTGTAAATTCTTTGAACGGATACTAAATTGATAAATAACCTGTAAACTGCGAAAAATGTGGAGCAACATGACCTAATTTGAATAACTTTTTGTCCTTCTGGGACTCACACTTGGATTTGCCATTTCTTTAAATATTTCCATGTTGGGTGCGGAGGCTGTCGGTCCAAACACCTTTCGAGAATCTCAAACTCTGATGATTTGACAAACTTACCCTTCATGGTGTGGGTATGCTGGGGCCAGGAGTGGTGTTTTAGCTTGAAGAAAGTGTTGTTTTGGTCAATTCGCAAAATTTGTGTCTCGCTAGAATTAATGTCCATTTTTTCAACTTTGGTGTTTGACTCGTAAAACATGAAGGGTTAGGTGTGACAGTCTTAATATATAGTTTAAAAAAGATTGTTACTGGTTTTTTTTAAATTGATAAAAAAAATTATTGAAAACATTATTATTTCTATTGATTTTGTTATTATTGGGCGTTTTACCGATTTTGTTAACATATATGGTAAAGTGCTACGGTTTTGTTATTTTTTTACCGGTTTTGTTATTATTAGGCACTTTACCGAAAATGTTAAAAAATATTAATGTATTAGGTAGAAATAATAATGTTTTAAGTATTTTTTTACCGGTTTTATTAAAATAAATAATAACAAAACCATTAACGTTTTTTCTTAACCGTATATTAAGACTGACGCACGGTAGACTTCCCTCGTAAAACATATGAATCATACCTGAAACAATGGATTGCTTGTGATTCTGGTGTTCGAATTTTTTTTAATATTGTGAATAAAGTAAACCTAGTTAAAAGAATTATTCTTGTAATAAGTTTATACGATACTTGATACAAATTAATGGACCGACAGATTAGATACTAATGATTATAGCTTGAAAAAAATATCAACAGGTGGTCAGCTCTAATTAGGTCCAGTTCATGGTCCCCTAGGGTTGGTATAATTGTTTTTTTGATCCTAAAATTATAGAACTTTTTTTTAAAGGGGTTTTGTATTCATCGGGGAAATTCGAATACAAAATGACAAAAACATGAGTCTCGTTAAAAAATCTTTCTAATCCTAATTGAAGGAAAAAGAGTGCATCATGCTATGTAAGAAAGCGAATAATCAACAAATACTCATACACAACGAAACAGACCACACAACGTAATTAACAACCCAACAACTATGCATGCAAGCATCACTGCAACGCAACCTTCCCATGCAGCCTTGGAGGCAATCCAACGCAGAAGCTAACCCTATGAACCAAACATAACAGCCACAACAGCAAGAGGACACCAGATCCATAAGGAAACTAGTACGTAAAAAGGCTCACCCGGATGTATTAAACTTGCACTTCCAGCACGATCACTCCACCACGCCCGGCACCAAGCAAATAAAAAATTATAGAACTTTTAAATAATAAAATGGTAAAATTTCTTGTTGTACCCTAGTTTCATAAATTTTTGTTGATTTTAAAGTTGTAGGGTTTTAGACTTTCTGGTAATAAAATGATAAAATTATGTTTTACCTCCCCTAGAAATGTATAGTCTAATCTTAAATCACTCAAGTATCTAATTTGATTTAACTTTAGATATAATCAAAATTGAATGATAGTACTGCAATAAAGTTATTGGCAAGTAACAATTCATTGTACGAATTTATGCACAATACATTGAATAAAAGTAGAGAAAAGAAAGAAAGCAATGACAATGGAAGTAACAATAAATATTTGGGAGTATCCTCCACCACGTCCTATCCCTTTTTGTTAATCTCTTTTTGGAAAGCGGAAAATCAAATGTGGTGGAAGTTTTTAATTCAAAAATCAGGTCGGATTTTGAATCAGATGGAATCTTTCTAAGTTCGGGTTAAATTAAATACGAATAAAAATATATAATCTCGAAGAGGATTTAGATGAGTCAAAATTCGAACCCGACCCAAATCGTGACCATCCTTAATCTTCACAACTTTTGGTGGAGAAATTAATTGCCGACAATCAAATTATACTCATTTAATGTACCAAATTGAAGGTGCTTCCTTTTTTGCCATTTTCTTTGTTCCCTTTTACCTGTGTCTGACAGATTTCAGATTTGTATAATCCGAGTGGTGCCATATGCTGGCACTTTTTGAGTACTACAAATTCACATCCCCAGTCCCTCCCCTTTACCTCATCTCACTCCACTTTCCAACTTTTGCATTATGGCTACGATCGTTTGCCACCACCACCGAGGCCTACAGTCGTGTCTCGAGTCGCTGATAGCTGAGCCGAGAGCGTTGAGGCTAACGCTATCTTCGTCGAGGTCCCATTCCGTTAATTCGAATCCTGAACCGGGTGGCTTGAGTGTACTCCAAGCTATGTTCGATGGTCCTAGGTTGCCGACTGAAGGGAATGGAAACACTTATGTTCATCCTTTAGTCAAGCGTTCTTTGTCTGCTCTGAGTGATAAGAGCCTGGAGCTGTGCACCGAGAATTTGGGCAGCGAGACGGGAAGTGACGATGTCCTCGACGACGACGACGACATTTTCTCGTTGTCGCCTTCATCGAATACTCGGACATGGAAACAACATATATCGCGACGAGTATCGGGCGGTAAGAAAGCATTCGGAGTCGATTTCCCGCCTCCGTTGACGACGATAAGCGGGGCCGAATCGCTTCGAGTTCGACCCTATCGCGAAAACGGAAGGTTGGTAATAACAGCCGAGAAGGCTCCATATAACAGCACAATCTTCCGAGCCGAACGAAGCAATGGCCGCCTTCGACTATGCGTTATGAAAGACTATGAAGAAGAAACAGCAGCCGAGGAGGAAAATGACAACATTGATAATGGAAACGATGAAGAAGATGAACTGGAAAACGATAGCAACGCCATAGTCGAAGAAGAAGAAATGGGGAGGACAAAGCTAGAAAGGAGGGAAAGAAGAAGCGGCGGCGTTGGCGGCGGAGCGGGGTGCAAAGGAGGTGGACATGAAGAACAAAAGATGGCTAAATTGGGTGGCTACAGCCATAATTTTGTTCTGGATTTGCCTGTATGATAATTATTATTGTTAATATTATTATTCCTTCACAATTTTAAGTTTTTGTTTGTTCTGTTGGATTTTTTTTGGGGAATTTTGATTTCCTCTGTTTCATCCTTCAAGGAATGCTGTTTGTGGTAGTTAGGCAGTTATTATGGTTATTCGTGTCCTGTATCTCTCTCTCTCTTACATATAAAACACAAACTTTCTAATTTTTATTACCAAAAACAAAATTGAATAATTATCTATCAGACACTCATTAATTAAATTTTACCGATTTAATACCTATATGTTGATATGGACGTAAAACGCAAATCATCAAGCATGCATTCGCTGTTTTTTCGTCCGAGTTGATGCCACGCAGGTAAAACACGGATCACCATCCGCGCCTTTCATTATTCACCTTGAATTATTGAGTGTTCTATTATTACCCTAAAATTGGGCAACTCACCCACCCCTCCTATATAAATACCGCGAATGCAAACATCAAACAACATCAAAATTATTTTCGCATTCTTTTTTTATCAATTCATTCTATCAAGTTAAGTAGATTTTGTTATAGTTTTTATAATGTAAAATTATTTTTATTATATTATATTAATTTTATATTTAATTATTTGGCCAAATTTTTTTTGTACTAACTATTTTGTATTGCTTTTTTGCAATTGTAAAATGGAATGTGAGATTAACTCTCAGGATATTTTGCCGATACAGTAACAATATTAAATTGTGTTTTTTAATGTATTGTGATTTTTTTAAAATTTTTTAGCATTAGTTTATATTTTAATTTGTATACTATTTATTTAATTAGGCATATTTCAGCTATTATTTTTGCAGATATAAGACTTTCAATCTTTCAAACTCTCAAAATGAGACGTATTTAAGCTATTGTTTACTATGATTGATAAATTTGGGAAAATGAAATCGGCTTTGTCTTCGCATCAAATCATTCTGTCAGAATACCCTTTAAGATAAACATCACTATTGAGGAGATGATCACTAAAATTTTAAGGAAGGTTCATGTTGGAAGTACTAGAAGAATGTCATAGCTTCAGTACATATTTCCAACCGCAATATTTCCGTTAACTTATACAACGTTTGAACTCTCCCAATGATGACGATGTTGCTATGATGGTTGATTCCAAGAATCAAAATTCAAACGATGATACACAAATGATGTTGTGACGATGAAATTGTTGCTTATGAAATCTCAGTTTGTGTTATTTTATTTTCGTTTGCTTTCAGTTAATGTCATTTGAGCATTACTAAGTAATGAAATACTTAAGTGAAAATTAAGTAAAAACATTACAAACTAAATAATAAAAACAATAACAACAATTAAATAGAAACATTAAATAGAAACGATACAATTTAAACAATTAAATAATAAAAACATCAATAAACAAAATAAATAAAAAGTCTACAATTAAATAAAAATTACAGTTACTGATAAATAAAGAAAATTAAATAAAAACATTACAAACTAAGCAAGTCTATCGATGTTTGTGTCTTGAATGTGTTCCACAGGATGATAGCTGTCTATTTCGATGATGGTTTCTTCTCACTCTCGTCATCAGCAGCAGCAGTAGTATCTACATTTTGCTGATGAGGGACGGATGACGATGTATCATCTCCATATAATAAGGATTCTGGAGATGTATGATTAACCATTCTACCACTCATAGAAAACTGTGAAAACATCGATATTAATAACTGCAAAACTGAGCCGGAAGTGTCTGAGTCTGTGGTGAAGCATCACCCGCCAAATAAGCAGCATATGAAGCTCACACTGGATCTACAAGCATGGAACTATAACATACGATAGGATGCGTCATAAAACCTACGGCAGTGACATATGAATCAGTTGTGGTGGCATCTGAAACATCTGTAGTGCCATCTGAAACGGTTGTATCCCCATCTGAAACGATTGTGGAATGTAAATTGGTATAGACAATGGCTGCTATGATGATTCCGGTGCTGTAGTTGAGGATGAACCGGAAACGCCTGCTCTTCATCCACGAGTCGGGGATGATAATGCTATGACAGTTGACGTTTTTCTCGACATCGATGAATGTACACGCCTCGTGCTTCCTTAGAAAGTATGAACGACTTTATGTTCATGTTGAACCACTAATAATAGTCATCCACAATCGAATAATGATCCATATAAATCGTCTCCCTACGGGGAATACGTCAACGTCGATCCTCTTAAATCATTAACCACATAGATTACATCCTTGTTAGTGTTTTGATTTTTAGTTTTTAATAATAATGTCTTTATGACACATTTTTCTCTGTCTTTATATTATGTTTTATTCTGTTTTTTGTGCGTTTTCGGTCGTTTAGCCGTTTTTTCGTTTTTTATTTTTTTTCTCAAGGTGAACTTAACGATGCCTTGACTAAGATGACGTTTATTTGTTATTCTTGTGTATTTTTTTGTTTTGGACCATTAGATTAAAATAATATACCTTTAATAAAAAAAATTGAAAATATACATCACGAGAGGTTCGACTGGAAAGACAAAAAGAGATAAAAGGGTTAAACGAAACGGGTAAACTAAACCAACCCACAAAAAGAACAAAACACTGTCTAAGATTCGCGTCCGTACGGTACCATCTGACAATATTGACGTAAGCATATTTTAGTTCTTAAATTATTTATTTAATTAGTGAGTATGGGGCCCTAACAAGTAGAGTTCCCTCAACTTGGGGACGCCTTGGCCCATAATTAAATAACCCTAAATAATTTTTAAATTAATTAAATAATCATTTAACTCTGAAAATATAGAATACTACATTTTTTTTATAATTGAACTAATCTAATCTTTACAGGTAATGAAGAAAAGGCCTTTTGCTCTCAGAGGTCCAAATGAGTTACTGTCACGCACCGGAACTTGGTGATTGAGTTTAGGGGTTAACTTAAAGCTTTAAAAATTTTAGAGGTTAAAATTAAAATTTTCAAAAAAATTGAGTGATTTAATTTACATTTTTTTAAAATGGGGTTTAACTAAAATTTTTAAAATTTTGAGAGGCTTAATGAGAATTTTTAAAAATTATTGGAAGAACTTAATTATTTACATTAAAAAATTTAAGAGTTTAATCTGAATTCTTAAAAAATTTGTGGCGCCAAATTATATATATATTTTAAATTTAAAGATCAAAATTATAATTTTTTAAATTTTGGGGCATGACCTTAACTAGTCTTCATTGTGTTCCGCCTCTACTGTCATGTATATTTGTTGAGTTAATCGAATGACGAAATTGGCCAAGAGGGGGGTGAATTGGCAATAAAAATTTTGTGGAAGCTTTTGCAGAAAATTGAAAGCAATTGCACAGCGATTTACAGTGGTTCGACTTTCTCAAACAAAGTCTACGTCCACTACCTTAGCTATCCACACTAAGGATTTTCCAACAAATTCACTAATTTGTTCTTTCTTTTGAGGCCAAAGAGATAACCTTACAATTCCCTCAAGAGTATACCCCAACTCTTGAGAACACTCTTTTCTCAAAGAGAAGATTACAAATTTGCAAACTTACAAGAAAACCTCACAAGGTAAGATGTTTGCACAATTCTAGAACAAAGAAAAGAACACTCAAGATGAATACAATTGAGCACAAAAGTGTTCTTGAAAGCAAAATGAATATTGAATAAAAAGGGCTTGAAATGCTCAAACTTGAGGTTGATGCTTTCTCTTTGATTCTCTCTTGATTCTAGTTGCTTGATGTTTCTTGTTTTTGATCAATGGCTTCTAAGCTTGCTTAAATACACCTTGGATCACTTCTGAACGTTGGGGATAATTAGAGAAGATATTATAGCCGTTTTAGTGTGAAAACATTTAATAAAACAGCTTGGACAGTGGGGGGAATCGGTTCCCTCTCATAGGGAATCGGTTCCCTAAGTGTAAAATTCAAATATTTCGACCGTTGAGCAAGGGGGAATCGGTACCCCCTTGGGGGGAATCGGTTCCCTCCGAGCATTCTGGAAATCTCGGAGCCAAACCATTCAGGGGGGAATCGGTTCCTCCTATGGGGGGAATCGGTTCCCTCTGAGTAATTTGGAATTTTTGGCTTTGAATTGGTTCGAAATACTTTATAAAATATTTTGAAATTGTTTTATGATTAAAACTTAATTTTACACTTAAGTAAGGATCAAAAATGATTTTTGAAATATTTGGAGTAATGTTTTGATATTCGAATAGTTATATCGAATATACTTAGAAAATCATTTGGAAAATCTTAAAATCCATTTAACTTAATTTGTTATATCGAAATATTAAAATGTTTCAACAATCTCCCCCTTTTTGATATAACAAAACATTTTAGTAATTTTAAGATTTTTGAAATCAAGTTTTGAAATTAGAAATTATTAGAAATTACTCCCCCTTACTTTAACACTTAATTCTTCTCCCCTTTTTGTTAAATCAAAAAGTCATTGTAAAACAAGGTTTTGTAAATCATTTAGACAATTGATTTATTAATTATAAGCTTAAGCTGCTAAGATCATAATCAAAAGAGAGGTTAGCCATTAGTTTCATAAATCAATATTCATAAATAATGTGATATGGCAAAATTGGTCATATTGCTAATGATAATGTAAATGATGCAAAAATGAATAAAACAAACCAAACATATAAGTTCACACCATTCATATATCCAAAATCCAACAATCCACAAAATCAAACATATCAAAATGTTGAAACAATATTCATTTTGTTCAAAGTTTTAAAGCTAAACATAAAATCAAGCATCCGGATCGGTAGGAGGAAAACGGGCTCGCATAGCGGCCATCTCGTGTGTGAGTTCATGATACGAGCGTTGGTTGATTCATTGTTTGCACGCATCTCCCGAAGAATCTCTAATTGTTGAGCTCCCATTGTGGATAAATGAGACTCTATAGAGGAAAAACGCGAGTCCATGGTAGCGTATCGGTAATCGAATGTCTCCATAAAGGATTGAAAATATGGAGGCATTTGATGCGTTTGTTGCTTGCTCCTCGGGCTGCTCTTCGGGCTGATCAGG